AATTCTGAATCTCTGGGGCCATGACTTACAGTTATAGGGAAATGGCATATATGAGGGAACTGGAGAATGTTACCTCTGTAAAGCTGAAAAAGAGTCCAACACCTCCCAGGATTTTCAGGGCTTCATCTGAATGCTTAAGAAACTTTTCTCCACACATCTGGCATGTGGGGCTCTGACTCTTGCAGATCTAGGATAAAACATGTATGTGTATACTTGAAGGATACAGAGTTGCTAAGCTGCCCTATCCCAATACCTATGGTGAATGGCCCTAAAAATTTACTAGATCAGTATCCTACAGACTGAAATCTTACTTAGCTAATTCTCTAGCCTCTGTATCCATCCCCCCTCCTCCCACCAGCACACAGTTCCAATACAAGAGAGCTACTAGAGAGAGGCAACCATATTCAAATTCAAATCTGCCAATTTGGGCATTTTCCTACTTCCCCCTTCTCTGCCAACTTACTGCAGTGCAGAAAGCATAATCTTGTTGATACAGGGTTGTGAGGTTGAATAAGCCACAACAATCAAAACTTCTTTCCAGTTCATGCCGGGTCTTGTTGCTCATGACCCACCAAGAAGCATTGATAACATCTGTCTGGAGGATATATAGGCAGAAGGAAATTATTTAATGCTGCCAACCTTAAGAATTCCCCTGAAATCTGTTCTCATTTCAATTGTTTCATTTTGCCTAGTCCAGCAAAGGAAGCCAACATCTCTCAGAAAAAAAAAAAAAAAAAAGAAATCACAATTATACACACACAATGATAAGTATCCATGTCAGGTTGTCCTAGATCATCCTCTTGGAAAATGAGCCACACATCCCAGAAAAAGCAAATTGCTCAAGAATCTGGACATAGTAGACCTAAGAATGATCTTTGGGACCAGACATAGGAAGGAGTTAGAGGTTATGAAGAGGAAAAAAAGTACTTCAAAAGGCATCCTCTTACCTGTTTGCTTCGGTTAATAGCCAGACATGACCAAGAGATTCCAAACTGGAACATGAAGACTAAACCAAGGATGATCATATACTGAGAGGAAGAGTTACGGGGAAAAACGGTCTAGATTCCTTTATGTTCCACCAATAACAACCATCTGATCTCATCTAGTCATAGAACTTAAACAACTATGTCACTTAAAAACAATAAAAACAGCTCTTGTTTCATAGAGCAGGACAAGGAGACGTCCCCAAGATTGCTGGTCTAATTTCTAACCAGCTCACTCAGCCCTCCCGACAGCCTTGATGTCCCCATCCTTCAGTTCAGGATACAAAGAATAGCAGTACTTGGTGGTGGTTGACAGCACCCACCAGCCCAGCCACAGCGATGAGAAGAAGGAAGACTCCCACAGCAATGACTCCTCCGATGATATGGATGCTGGACACCAGACCCAGGCCCTTACCCCACGCAGCAACTCCAATGAGCAACAAGCCTACCAGCTACAAGAAATAGAAAAGCAGGATACATCTCAGAATTTTAGTGTGCAGCACAGCCAAAGAACATACAGGGCACCCGGAACAACAACAAAAAAGAATTGAGTTGTGTGTACATGAGGGAGAGGAGGTGTTAAGGGGACCTGGAGCATCCCTGGGCACTCCTCTCATCCGAGGTCAGAATGGCTGGGATGGCAGGGGGGAGGTGGCAGGGATAGTAATTTTTGAATATAAAAACCGAACCTTTAGCTTCATCCATCACTTCTCTTTTGGGAGAAACTGAAGTTCATAAGAAGAAGGGATAGGCCTTTGTGCCGACAGTCCCAGTTCATTCTCCCCACCCCCAAACTAACCCTCTGATCACCGGAAGTCTCCCCTCTTCCCACGGAAGTCCCGAGGAATTCCTCTTTGCCGGAAGTTCCCGGGAATCTTCCCGGAACCCCCAGTACACCCCCTCCCCACCGGAAGTCCCCTAGAGATTCTCGGCACTCGCCTTTCCTCGTAGCTTTCCCCACCTCCAAAACCTCACCATGTACACCACGTTGAGCGCGCACAGCGCATTCTTGGAGCAGGCAAAGCCGCCGCAAACCATCTCCCCAGCTATGGGGACCCAAAAGGTCCCAAGCACTTGGGGAGAGGGTCTTAGGGCTGTCTTCTTGGACCCGGACAGCTTCTGTCTCTTTAAATCTAGTCCAGCCAAACCCAATTCTCTGCGCCTGCACCGTCCCACCCCTGCCTCTAGATTGGCAAAACTCAGGGCTAATCCAGGACGGTGATGGACTGAACGCCAATCAATCTGCATTGCGTCACTAACCCGCCTCCCGAGTTCTTTATAGGATGAAACTTAAAACTGGAGGCAGGGCTTGCAGAGATTCTCTTAGGGATCAGAGCCTAAACTTCAAAACCCCGGATTGAAAGCGGAGTTTTCCGTGGCCGCAGCTGGAGGAGGTTCTGGTTGATGAGAAAGTGCGGCTTCGCGGGCAAGGCAAGAAGGGCCCTCCCCTCGAGGGAGCGCCCTTCCCCTCCGCTTTCCCACTTGTCCTGCAGTGACCTCATGATGACGCCAATGTATGTTGTTCTTGCGTCACACTCGAGAACACCCAGAGGAACAAAAATATTGAGCTATTTAGCCTGACCACAGAGGCCACCGGTTGGGCACAGTAAAACTGAGCAAGTCCTCAGGCCTCACACATTTGCAAGTATGTCTACTAGTACACGTCCTGTTCCATATCCCCTCTTAACGAGTGTCAATATGCTAGGAATTAAATGTGAAAAACAGTAGCCTCCGTTGGTGCATTCTTATAATCAGAAGACCTAGATCTATATTTTCGTAAGTGACAAAGCCACAGATACAGACATGGGTGTGCCGGATGTCTTCAGAATAAATGCCTGATCCAGGGCTTGCAAAAAATGACAAAAGGAGGGGTCTGGAATATGAATAAATCTGACGAGAAGGAGGAGTCTCCACATTTTCACTGTAGGGTGGGCATCATGGTTAATCAACATATGTTTATTATTGAATAAATGCTTTGACACACTACCTTTGTGTGTAACCTTTGGTCAGTTAATTAAACACTCTGTGCCTGTTTTCTTATCTGTAAAATGGGGATAAATAACAAAACACCTACCTCTTGGATTGTTATGAGAATTAAATGATTGGGACAGTACCAGGCACATAGTAAACACTCAATGTTAGTTATTATTGTTTGGACTATTTTTCATTTTCTAGCAAGTAATCTCAACCTCAATTCTCTTATCTCCAACTACAGAACTATTCACATAGTTATAATCTCCTGTCCTTCATAAATTAATATCAAGAAGACATACAGGAGAAGAGACATTTGGCAGAGCTAGAAAGGTCTGAGTCCTGAAACAAAGTGATTAGGTCAAACTACCATTTCCTCCTCATCCCCTGTGCATATTCATTCTGTCCTTCAATTCTTCATCCACCCTCTTATCTGTCAGGCCCTAAATCCAGGGCAAGACAATGGCATTAGGGATTAAAGGGACTGATTGTCAAGCATCTTTGTTGAGTTGTGTAATGAAAAGAGTATTGGAATTATAATCAGAAGACCTAGATCCATATTTTTGTTTCATGCTACTGGCCTCTCTGAGCTTCAGTTTCCTTTGCAGACTAGGGATAATAACCTTACCCCTCAGGCCTGTCATGAAGATGATACATATGAAGGTGTGTTGTAAACTGTTGTTTTATAGACAAGTTAATTATTATAGAGGATAGAGCATGGTGGTTTTGTCTGGTTATATGTTACTGTCCTCTATAACCTCTTTTCTCCAGGAGATGGTTACAGTGGGATAGCTGACTGAGGAAAAGTTACATTGCAAGATATAATTACACAAGCTCTTTGGATGTGTAGAGTGGGTGGTGAGTACAATTGTAAACTGTAATGCAGGGCTATAAGAGTGACAAGCCAAGTGTATATGGATTCTTGTGAGAGTTTCAGACCGAACACAAGTCTATAGGTCACCAAGAGTTTAGGATTGCACTTGGGATCTGGCTTGCCGCATTCTCCCGGCACCAACACTCATCTTAATTAGCCACCTCCCACAGGAGGCCCTAGGGTGCTTGTTAAGGTCTCGACACCCACCTGGCTGGAGAATCATAGCAGAACCTGGCTGGCAGAGCTGATGGGCCAACACTAGAGGGGGTGGGAGGTACAGGAGGTAGTGCTGTCCCAGGCTGTGGGTTTGAAACTCACCAGTCAGGAAGTGAGGCCTACAGACGGAAGGGCGGGCAGGGGCGGGGAGTTCTGGGGCACAGCAGAAGGGGCCTTCTGGGGTTTGGGGGCTACAGGGCCATGGGCTTCAGGACTAGAGGCTGTCGTTAGCCTGGCCAGACAGGTCTGGGCAACATGCTTGCCCAGAGGCAGCTGGCTGTAGCTGCAGTGAGAGCAGAAGTCAAACGACATGAGGTGGCCAAGCAAGCTCTAAGCCGCCTCAGGAAACTGGCAGAGAAGGTGGGTGACCCGGAACTTCGAGACAGCATCCAGGCCTCACTGAACAGCATACGAGGTAAGAGAAGAGTTGGCTCCAAGTTAGGTGTATTGGGGACCAACAAGGGCATAGAAGGATTTGCCAGGTCATACATCATTTCCCAATCAGCCACTTCCTAATCCCCAAGATGGGGCTGGGACTGGGGGGAAGAATACATTTAGAGAGGATGGAAAAATA